ATGAAACAACTTCATCAAAAAAAGTATTATATGAAACAATTTCACAAGATTAAACAATTTCATGAAAAAATTTCATAAGATTAAACAATGAAATCGACAGATGAAGGTGGTTTGCACGGTTTACACAAATGAGGGCGGTTTTCATATGATCACTCCTCTATATATATATATATATATATTCCAAAGATTTTATTTATTATTTAGGGATTCCTGTTTCTTTGTTATGTTGGTTTGAGGTTTTTGGTTTGATTGGCATGCGCAGGAGCTTGGGATTAATGCTCTTCACATAAAGTTGCGGGCTACAGGAGGTAACAAGACCAAGACTCCTAGTCCAGGAGCCCAGTCTGCTCTAAGAGCTCTTGCTCGGTCTGGCATGAAAATTGGTCGCATTGGTATTTCCTTCGTTACTTTTTTCTTTTTAAGATAAGTGGTACACAATTTTGTTGGCATACTTGTATAATTCTCGAGAGTTAGCGACTTTCAATCACATTTTTATGCCAGTCAACCTTAACTGTGTAAAAATGCCAAATATAACATGGTAGTTTGCAAATGAATAAGATTTTGGACAAACCACTGAAAGATGTATGAAAAATTAACTTGACATTTAGTTCAAAATTGTTCATCTTGCAAGCAGATTCTTGTTAAGAAATTTGATTTGTAATACAAGGTTTGGTTCGGTTCGGTTGTTTGAATATAATTTGTTTATGGTTGCAGAGGATGTGACTCCGATTCCAACTGATAGCACCCGTAGAAAGGGCGGTAGAAGGGGAAGAAGACTGTGATCTCGGCAAAATGGATTATTATGCAATTGTTCAAGTTTTGTTTTTTGGTCGACAGTTTTGATGATTTCGGGCATCGTTTTACGACGCATATCGTGTTTCTTTGATGGAGTATTTTATATAAAGTGAATTGGAATTTACTTGTGTTCTGTTATTGCAAAAGCATTGGTCTCTGCTCTTGAGGTTCATGGCCATAGATTATATTTTAGGTTTTGTGTTTTTATAAATCTTCATAATCATATCACTCATGATTTTACTATTTTGTGCAAATGTTATAGACTAACGAATTAATACAAAGTTGTAAAATTACTCTTGAAAGTTTTATTTTGAATATTTAATCAAATACTTTTTACATAATACTAATGTATATGATTATCTTATTAAATATTAGAAGAGTCCTCGTGTAATGTAACGAGACAAATTTTGATTTTAATGTTCTATTTTATTTTTTGTCTTTGTTGATGTTATAATACGATTTTATGTGTTTTTAAGAAAGCAATAATGATTTTATTTTTAAATAAAATATATATTTGAAAATATCATAAAATTTTAATATATCTATACTATATTATAAAACATTTGGCAAAAACTCTTAAAATTCATTTTTTTATGCGTAAAGTATTGTTTATTAATGCATGTTACTTAAAACTCTAGATTGTAAATAGATTGTCCATAAATACAACTTATTAAAACTTCAAATCTGAATTCGTATAACTAACTGTAGATAAATTTAATCAAATACAGGATAAACATATTATTTTAAATATAATTAGGATAATCATTGAGTTCTTACAGAATATTTAATTATTATCTTTATAAAATGTTATATTATTAAAGAAATTATATAAAAAAATGAGAACTTTTAGATAGTTGATTTGATATTAACATTGATATTTTTTTTCAAACTTTTATGATATCTTTAAATTTATATTTTATTGAAAAATAAAATAATTATTACTTTCTTAAATAAACATTGAAATCGAGATTTGTCTCGCTTTATTGCGCGTGTACTCTTCTAGTATGTATATATATATATATATATATATATCAATATTAATATCAAATTAACTATGTAAAAGTTCTCATTTTTATCTAATTTATTTTTTATTATAATTTAATTTAAGTTTAATAATAAAATAATTTATTTTTAGTTTAATAATATAATATTTTACACACATAATAATTAAGTAATCTGTTACAACTTAATGATTATCTTAATTATATTTTAGATTTTTTATATTTAAAATGAGATGTTTATCTTGTATTTGATTATGTTTATCTGCAGTTAGTTACACGAATTCAGATATAAAGCTTTAATAAGTTGTACTTATGCACAATCTACTTGTAATCTTGAGTTTTAAGTAATATGCATTAATAAACAGTATTTTATGCATAAAAGTGGTTTTTAAGAGTTTTTGTTAAATATTTTATAATATAGTATAGAATATATAGAAAACATATATATATATATATATATATATATTTATTTATTTATTTATTTTATATATAACTTGCAAATCTCTTACTTTATTTCACATTTTGAAAAACGTGTGTATTTATTGTGAATTCCAAGGTTTGAGATTTGATTTTGTTGTGACACGCCTCTCGCCATTTAAAACTTTGTATGAGATATATTTCTCCCCTAGAATCTAATGATAATTCAAAATGATAATAAAAACTGAAATAAAAAAATTGAATTGCATAATGATGTAAAGGCTATTTGCACTGGCGAGAAGACTGTGTATTTCCATGTGCCTGTGGACTTGATATATTTCAAAGGATTTGCTGGAAGGATTAACGTCATACCAATCGTAGATGAAGACTAAAGGTGAATGATAAACTATTGATTGTGTTTGTCCAGTGAGTACCGTAGGAGGTAAGAAAGAACTAGGCCTTCTGAACATGATGACTACATAAGTCTTATAGCACGTGGATAGCTTTGGAGCCATTTGTGAGGAAGATCAAACCAACTGAAGAGGGTGAAGATATTTTTGGAACCTTTTGGTTTTCGAATAACTTGACAACATTGAACGAAATGACACTAGTGAAGGACTCGAAAAGATACCAGAAAAAGAATATTGCTTCTTTTGGTAACCCATGCAAATCGTGAATGTGGAAGATGTTCAAGAAAGGGTAATCAGGGTAAAACTTGAGATTTTTCATGAAAGACCATGCTTTTGCAGGGTAATGGTAAATAACATTTTGTAGTTAAGGAGAGATCTTTCTTTCAGGGTCAAGTCGGCGATGATTTCTGTGATTTCTTCTGGGAGGTTCATGGGGATGGCTTGAGAGACATTTTGGTTTGAAGAACTAGCATTAGCTATTGGGAACACCATTGGGAGGATTTGGTTCTTGAGGATGGGTTGAACCTCTTTAGGAATACTGCATTTATAGTCTTTTGGTCGTGACAGGAAATCTACGAGAATATTCTCTATTCATTTGATGTGTTTTACTGTGAAGTTCCACTGGGAGAACCAATTTGACCACCTCAATAACTGTGCTTCAGGAAGCATTTTTCTTTTGGAATTGCATCATACGAGGGAAAGAAGACCTATCCATTTCAATAAGAAATTCATGACCGATAAGATGGAATTGGAATTTTTCTATTCCTCTTTTGACCACAATAATCTATTTGAAAATTGAGTGATAGTGCTTCTCTGAGTCTATAAACGCGCCACTTTTGTATCCCACATATTGTCTTGACATTATTTTTATCTTGAGCAAGTAAGACTGCTCCCCAGTACTCATCACTTGCATTGGTCTGCAAGATTCGCTTGTTAGTGGCAGTGAGAATCTTTAACGGGGGGCATCATATCTGCTAGTTGCTTTATTACCTTTAAGTGTCTGCTTGTTAGTAATGGTGGGGAATCTTTCTTTACATGGGGAACATGTGCACTGTATGACTTGACAACTTTGGTAACAAATTAGCCATATAACTAATAAGACCAAGAAATTATTGATTTTTTTTGTGACGTCAGCTTGTCTGGAAACTTGTGCAATTCTTGGGCAACATGAGGTTATGGGTGATACGTACCCTCAAAGATTTTCATTCCAAGGAAATCAATGGTGTTAACACCAATCTCCATTTTCTTTTCAGAGAGCATGATACCATACTCTGTCACTATGAAATGAAATTGTGAAAGTAAGTCTACGTGCGATTCTTTATCCGGAGATAATAGGAGGATATCATCAATGTATACCAAGGTGTTGTGGAGAATGGGTTCAAGTTTTTTGACCATAGCCTTTTGGAAAGTTGATGAAGCGTTTTTTAACCCCAATGACATCATCTTTCACTGGTAATGATGATCTGGAATACATAAGACAGTTTTTGCTCTATCTTCAGGAGTTATGTCGAGCTGACAAAATCCAGCTTTAAAATCAAACTTAGATAGTACTCTTGCATCTGCTAAGGATTGGAACAACGACTTCTTTTTTGGAAGAGGGAACTATCATCTACCAAGAAGTGATCGAGAGGCTGAGAGTTTATCACCAATCTTTATTTATCACGAACTTGCTCACTTCTTTTGTTGACATAAAACGCTTCACATGCCCATGACGACGTAGTCGACTCTATGCTTCATTGGTCAACGAGTTATGAGCATTCTCGAATTGCACGTAGATAGTCGTCAGGGTTCATACTAAGATTGCTTTTGTTGGGTTCACGTCTTCATTCTGTTTGAACGGGAGGGTAATAAAGAACAAATGATTAAGCCATAATGAGTTTTTATTTTTTGTGAGGAACTAGTATGGTTGGAGGCACAAAAGTCTGGATAATTTGCTGTTTGAGAGTTTCTATGGTGAGAGTAGAGGTCATGCAGAGTCGTTGAATTGAGACTCCAATAAAGGATGGGTATGAAAGTCCAATCGTGTTGGATTTAATTAGTCAAGGGAACAATTGGTAGAATATGAGGCTTCTACAAAATGTGTTCCAACCAAGTGATGTGGCGGCCATAATGGAGATGTCGTTAAGCCTAAATGCACTAGCAGACAGAAGGATATGGCACTATAGCAGACAAAAGGATATGGCACTATAGCAGACACAAGGAGTATACAACACAGTTTGCTTACTGAACAATGATCGATAATCTGTCAATTAGAACTCATTTACAGGTACCAGGAAATTGGAAGAGATTGTGGCAACTTCAACTGTTTGATGAAATGTTTCACTTGCAATTAATTGTTGTTCGATAGGACTAACATTTAAAGAATGCTCGGTCATTGACTATTTTTTTACTGTAATCAGTTCATGTAAAAGAAGTTTATGAGAAGTGATTTTAATGAATTCATGTAGGCCAGTCAGAATGTTCGTGAATTAACTAATTTTACGGTTAGTTGTAATACCTACAGGCTACATAGTTTATCTGTTTCATGGGTTTCATGAATTCATGTTTAATATACATTGAAATGAATCAAGGTTTCATCCAGATTACATGAATGATTGACAATGATTCTTGAGGCCGAATTTAATTCATATAAATTGATTGAATATACTAATACAAAGTTTATTAAATCTATCTGTTTCATTTACATATTGTGTTTCCAATTGTTTTCTTTTATTTAAAAAGTTGATCATTTACATGTCACTGATAATTAGATAAAAATGGAAATAATTCAAGGAGGAAGTCGGTTGCTGACAGGCCCGACCCTAGGCACGTGCAACCCGTACGGCCGCACAGGGCATCAACGCCCAAAGGGGCATCAAAATTTTATATGATATTAGTTTTGAGTTTTGGGGTTTAATAGATCGAGACTTGGTCTTTAAATATAAACAGAGGCCCAATTGACCAGACCTGTTAATAACAAACCCAATGACTTAAATCGGTGACAATGATGGATCACTGTTCAGAAGACGATTTGAAATTGACGATTTCTATTGTTCTTTGAGTGTTCGAGTTTTTCGATTTTCGATTTTTGACTATGGCGTTCCAGTTCCAGAGGAAGACGATTAATGGTGACGAGTGTAACGACTGTCAATGGGACGATGAATCGATCTTGATGATCAGTCGATGCATTGCCGACTGCCCGACTATATTTACTTGAATACACGATTGTCGATTAAACTCTCAAATCTCAATCCTTCATTGTTTCTCAAATCTCAATCCTTCACATCTAGATACAGTCGAATGCATTTGTATTTTTCTTCAAATCTGGATTCTGGAACTGAAAGTGGAACTGTGGAAGTCGATTACCATTAATAAAATTCGA